TTGATTGGTCTCCATGGCTGCAATGAGAACCATCACAATGTTTACATATGCTTTGACATTTCAGTGTAAACAAGAAGAACTTCCAAAGTGCATATTTCACAACTTCAGACAGCTGATCCAAAGAAATGAAATATAATATTTTTTGCAGCTATGTGTGAGGTTTATTTGATCTAAAACTTTATCATAGATTATTTTTCTAAGACAATGTCAATGATTATGGAAATTAAAAAAAAAAATCTATAGCCTACGCTGTATCAACTTAGGCTCTGCTTTCGATTTTTAAAAGTGTATAAGTTATGAAAATAATTTTATTGATATATTTTCATGAACATAGTATGAAAACTACAATGTATAGATATTTTGTATAAATTATAAGAATTTGTAAATAAACTGCTTAACATGTGTTGGATCAACTTAATAACATAACTCCCACTTCACATTGACTATTTTACATTTTGCTAAATTTAGTCATTGTGTTTTGCTACACACCTATACCATAGATAAAACATACTCTATACTTAAATTAATCTAAAGAATGTCATAAATAACTAAATTGTACGCCTTTGAGAAACCAATATTTAACTAATGTATAAATAAAATATATATTTAAAATTGTACGTGATCTATTCCGATGTGACGGTTTTAGGCCCAAATAATCATCCAACGTTTGTAAAATTTAATCATCTAGCAATTGGTAGCCTTGAGCAGTTAGCTGAGGCCTCCAGTGTTTTAATTTCTCCGCGGAACCTGGTTAGTCTTTCCCCAACTTATTAAACGACAGATGAAAAGGAAAGTTATATTTCAGAACGACATTTGCTTTCCCGTAATTACGGCAACTTCTTCTCACTCCCTCAAGATATGTTTACATTCGCTTTCAAACGTTTTTTGCCAGGCGAATCCCAAGGCAGAAAGCTCGATTACCCGTCAGAGTAATTATGCGGTGATTGGGGATTACTGAGGGAAATTTTGAATCCTTGAGGAAAATTAATCTCTGTTGGAAATCATATGGGAGATAATTGGGAAAATTTGCATTGCATGATTAATTACGTAAATTAAAGATCATCCAGATATAAGTCTTTTACGTGTTAAAAATATACTTTCTTGATGTATTTGTTATGCATTTGAAAAACGTTAGAATTTTGCTATCTGTAGATATAAGCTAATTATCTTTACAAGCAACGAGTTGTTGGCCCGTCCTACGTACGGGAATCGAGTAGTCCATTAAAACTGTATATAGTGAGTCTATTACTATACTCTGTCTGAATTTAATGTGCGGTTGAAGGAAAAATTTGTTTTCCCCTGTTTTCTCCCTGGCCCCTGCCACCACAACATATTAGCCTACAGCTGATTCATACTGTTTATAATTTTACCACAGTTGTCACTTTGTTTACATTTTAGTAGTAAACAACATTGTGATTATTCTGATGGTATTTTTTTGCAGTTTAATATTATTCAGTCTGTGTTATTATAAGGTGCCAAGACATTATTACAATTTTTAGAGTGTACAATTATTAAAAAAAAGCATTTATTATAAATCTGCAGGATGACACTGACTCTACTTTCCAGTTGAGAGTGAATTATGTAATGGAAAGTCTCCAGTACTTTTTTAACGTCCACATTACAAGTAACATTTGTTAAATTTACACCATATTGTGTTCATTTTGTGGTTTAATATATGTTTTAAAAATCAAATTAAATTTATATGTTTTTACGAGATTTGTTTTCTATTTGGTGTGTACTAAGGCATATTGGCCTTTTATTATTAAGGATTTGAAATATTTACGGAAAGTAAATAAAAGAAACGTCTTATAACACTTAAAACATATATTTACGCTTATACTGTTACTCACAAGACGGTAAATATACAAAAACGATGGTATATTTACCGTCTTGTGAGTAACAGTATAAGCGTAAATATATGTTTTAAGTGTTATAAGACGTTTCTTTTATTTACTTCCCGTAAATTTAATAACACGTACAATGCTGATCAAGAAGTTATTTGAAATATTTATACAATTAGTAAACGATGAAAAATGCATAAACTTTAATATAGCTGTTACATACAAATGGTTTAATTTGTGTGTATCTCCAAACATAACTCGTTCATTCAAATAGTATGATCAATTTGTTATGTTAGTTTATCCTCAGTAAAAGAAAATTGAATGCTCCTACTTGTCATTTACCTAGCGAGTTTAATGTTGTAAACTGATTATTCAGGCATAAACAGGATAACCCAATGGTTTTCATCCTGATCTGACCTTAGGGCTCCGCTAGAGACATTGGCAAAGTTCCTATTACCGACGGTATTAAAATAACAACTAAATAAAGAAGTGAAGAATCGCTTTAAAATTTTGAAACCAGTTCACCACGATATTAACTAATTTAATAATGTATAGTTACATTACCAGAACTGAAATTGTATTTAAAACAATCCATCAAACCATCAAAAGCAAAAATGTTAGTCCAGGATTATGTATATATATTACATTATAACAAAACTTTTAGTGAAATTAAAATTGACACGTAGATTATTTATTGTTCAAATAAATCTTATTGTTTTATTATGTGTGTAAATCAATCATAATAAACAAATGCTTCCTAAAAACCTGTCTGCAATATAAAACAGATGATTGTTACAGGGGATTTCAGTGTAGAAAAGGGTAAATGAGTGGGAGATTTACCATGATAGGGAAATCATATGTTGAATTCCAACCGCACAATTATTTTAGACAGACTATAATTCAAGCATAGTTTAAGCAGTTCAAAATTTATGAAAAGAAAAGGCTGCCAAGAAGAATTAAAACATGTGATCATTGTTATTTTCCCAACCTTTCCTCAAAAAGTCGAGTAGTAAAATTATTTTCATAAGCTTTTTTTTTAAGACTCGTGAGCAGAGAATGAGAATCCTACTTATTTCCTATAATCTTTGACTATAATTACCTTAGTATCCAATAGTCAATGCTATAATCAATGACAAAACCACAGAGTAAATAAACTAACCTCATAGTTCTATAGAATTTTTTTTTTTTATTCACCCAGCTGTTATAACAAACTATATATAGTTGTAACAAATTATATTACACTAAAACTAACTAAATATTTTATAGACTGCTCAAAAAATTAAATTAGATCATCTAGTATTTTACTATGTATATTTTAATAATCTCTTATCCTCTTACCGAATAAATGATTATAGCATTACGCATAGTATAAATAAGTCAATTCTACGTATGTCATTTCATTTTCATCCAAATGCTGAATTTGAGTCGAAAACGCTTAATGCTTACAGCTGTTAAAGCAAATGGTATTATACCAAAAGCTAGAGTAGAATGTTAGCGTCGGCTGCTAGACTTTAAAAAATTTTAAACTCAATTTCTAAGAAACTGAAACCCTAAGCTAAAATTATGGCTTCGACATTCCCTAGTTCTCAAAATTGTCTTTCTTTTGACACAAAAATCATGAAAATCCGTCGAGTGGTTGATTCAGAATCGTGAGGTTTTACAAATATTTAACTCTATAGAAATGCAACTTATATAATATTTTGGGTAAAGTGCTGTTATTTATTTATAAAATTGTATTTAATAAAATTTTATAAATCAATAACTGTTATTTATGTAAACATTACATTTTAATGTTTACAAGAAATGTTCAAATGATTACAATTTGAAAAAACCCTTTTGGAACGACTTATTTAAGGATTTTTAAACGATATTTTTTAGTAAATATTTTAATGTAAACAGGTTTTCTACAGCGGGAGTATTAAAATCTCTAATAAGTTTTCATTGTTTGTCGTTTGACAAAGTCACTTTTCTAAAATATCTCGATTATAACATTTGAAACTCTAGTAAATACAGCAACAGTTTGGAACAAACATTAAATAACCCTGAGTACATAAAATGTCACCGAACGAAACAATTTTACAGCTGTTTTATTAACACTGAGATGGGTCGGCAGATAAGAAATTAACTATGTAAGAATTTGCAACATTTAAATTTTAAAAGTCTTGAATGGGAAGCCGAGGTCAAGGCTGGCCCGTGGGTGTCCAGTGTTGCCAGCGGTACGATAATCCAGTCGACGATACGATAATTTCCCCATCAGTACGATGATGTATTTTTATGGTGCAAATCTCTTCCATGTGTATTAGTGAGTTTAAGAACATTTCAAATTTGGCTACGATAATTTTGGCTTTCTGATTGTGATAATGAGCCAAAATTCACGTCTTGTTAGGTAACACAACCCTCTATGTTTTATAAACAAGACAGCTTCAAAATGTCTAAGTTTTGTCCCAGTATATTCGGTTGTGTTCCTATTATTCCAAAGGACAAAAAATAATAGGAAGATTTTTGAACATGTCTTATTCATGGCAGGCTATTTAAATTTAAATCCAAACACTTTGTGTTCGCTGTACAGTAGCAGAAAACCTGACCTTAAATCCATTTATAATATAAATTTTATATTATTTTCAAAATCTATAGGAAAAATCCAAAATAGTAATGCTTATTATGCAGGTTTGCTGCAACGAGAGTATTATTTACGCCTACGTACCTACGTATGAGTTCTTCGCTACTTCTAATAAACTTACTTTTTATCAATTAATTAAAAAAATGCTGAATTGAATTCCATTCAAAACCACAAAATGTAAGTCAAGAAGGATTTATAAATGGTTTGACAACAATATTTAAAATACAGTAGTCTGAACTAAACTCGAGAAATTAAAAAACTTAAAAATTAGCCACTAAACAAAATATTGTATTATTTCTAAAAATGTACTAATATGGATTCCAAATATACTTGTTACTACACATAAACAACTTTAAACCTCATAAGCCATTAATTTTCGTGAATCGTAAGTATTTACTTGTATGAGCACAAGATCTATCGAATCAAACTACCATAATTTTTAGGGCACCATAATTTTACTAAGCGTACGATAATTTTGTGCCTTGCGCACGATAATTTCCCATCGCGAGGGCATTGGTGCTATTCCTGCACTGGCCGGCCCGGCACTACTTGTGGTGTTCGGTTCGTCGGCGAAAGATCTTATCTTTGTGCCGTGCTCGGTCATTTCCATATTTTTACGGTGTTTTGTTTGTGTGTGTGGTGGAAAACTGGTGTGGATATACGAACTGAACATCAATGTAAGTAACCATTTTGAAAATATGTATAGTTTTTCCTTGAGTTTTTATACATTAGTTAGTATAATTTAAATAGTAGGCCTAGTTGTTTTGGAAATGGGAAATGATTCGCCCCTATTAGTTTAAATTTTTTTAGTTATTGGTGAATGTTATTAGGTTATGTGTAAAAACTATTCGTAAACCTTTTTAAAATTTGAAAAGAATCTGCATAACATTTTTAAAAGATGGTCTGGACTTTACCACAAGATAGAGAACAATAATTAAAGAAGTCAGTCCCACATTCTTTTTTAGATAAAATTAATTTATCTACATTTTCTTACGATAAGGGCTAAATTAACCAAGAATTCTGTAGCAAATATATTTTCCTGATAACATAGTTTTGTTTATTTATTTTATGTTTTGAAATCACAAAAGATGGGACATAATAAGTTGTCATAAGATAGCACGGAATCATCAAAAACAGTTGGGGAGAAGTCCTGATTAATTAAAAATAAAACTTATCTACCTCTTGTCTACCGAAAAGAGCTATAAACTGTATTTTGAATTTCGTCGCAATCCATTGTCGGAAAACACAATTTAACTTTTACGTAAAATAAAGGTTAACATGCAGACTTAAATAAAGTATGATGATCAAGTATATAAATTGATTTCACAATTGAGTGAATTTAATGAACCATTGTTACAGAGAAAAAAGGTTACCGATATGAATTCAGCTTTTTAGGTTAGTTTGTTTGGGTTATCTCTTTTCCAATTCTTCATTTCAATTATGAGTTCAGTAATAATTTAAATGCACTCTCAGAATCGTTTTAAACAGCGGTTTTCAGAATGGCAAAGTAGTCTCGTCCATGGTCTTGTTTTCGTCTACCTTGTTTGGATTTTTCGTCAAATAGGATTTCTGTCTAATTATACGCAAACGAATACTTGTGAAAACTGTAATGTCTCAATATGTTACGTTCATTAATTATTTGTCATTGTTTGGTTATTTGTCATTTTATTCTATATTCCTAATCCAAATAATCTTCAAAGAAAAACACTAAGATTACTATTAAACTAGTTTACGTAAAATCTGTTATAAACCTCTTAGTACTGATTAGGGATTCATGAAAGGCCATCACATTGTGATTTAGCTTAAACTATATGTGAATTCAGCGTTCAAATCAGCGTGTATTTTTGCTAGGTAGAAATAAACCGTTATTATTGGTGATCAAAATAAATTTTAAGTAAATATTATAGATTTGTATCAGGTTTGATGTAAGTTAAATCAGCATTACCGGTAATTATTTTTGTTTGAAATGTTAAGTGTTTATAATTCTTGTATGTAAATAGGTTATGTAATCAAAATACAAGATAAATTCTACTGAAACTGATAAAATACCTATGATTAGAATTATTATAAAATCTATTGCTTAATTTTCTATTCCTTCCATAATACAATTAATTAGGGTTATAGTATAATTGCTGTGAGTTCGAGGCATGCTTCAGATATCGTCACATAACATCTGCACTCAGAAACAATGTACAATTGTCCTGTAACCCCCTTGTCAGCAGACCTGCGTGCCGATTGGTAAACTTTAAATCCGCTTAACCGAGAGGGCTTCCCTGAAATCATTGACGTACACAGATTTGTACTTGAACTCACGTGATTCGTGCTTGCTATCTTGCATAATGTTGTACCTATTTTACCCTTAGTTTCGTTTTATTTAGGTTTGTTAAAGTTAAGTTGGATTATTTAGAGTAAAAAACGTATTATGTTTTTATTGTTTACAAAACAAGATCTTAATACAAAAATTATAGATCTTTGTAAACTTAAGTCCTTTGAAAAGAAAAAAGTTTGTACTTGGTAGAAAAAATTCAAGACGTCGATTAATATAGAAAATAGTGAAACAAAAATTTCTCTAGAAACTTTTAACAAAACATATGCGCTGCAACAATATCAATAACGCATGAAATCACGCTTCTTCTAAGGTACATTAATATATCTTTGTGTTAGTTATGAACGAACAGGCTTTGCTGGCCTTTAACTGAACACAGCTGATGCAACAATGGAAGCTGTCAGAGAATAAACTCAATGGACGATCTGTAGGCGTTCAGGAAACAATATTTTCATTTTACTCCGCCATTGTATAGGCATTTTATCTATGGCATAGGTAAAGGAGACGAGTTTATGGGAATAGTTGTTCCACTTTGTGACAGGATAGCTGATTTGAAGCAATTGCCCAGAATTTTGCTTGAAAGTAAATAACAACTAAACACATGTGTCAGAAAATGCGTACGTTTGAAATAACACCTGTTGATTAAATAACATACACATGTTCCTATGTAATAGTATATTACGTTACTAGTCCTGAAAATAAGTGTTTACCGGACGAGTGTGGTCGTTCCCGTGCGAGACGAAGTCGAGTACGGGATTACCATACGAGTCCGGTACACACATTTTGGACGAGTGACGTACGATAGTTTACGCCATACTACTAAATCTGTACAAATCCTTATATATTTCCACCAACTAAAGGACTAAAAATCACTAGTCATTGAGAGGTTATGTTTTTGTTTATAACCACTCATTGCCACCTAAATACTAAATACAGTGTAATCAGCTGATTGGTGTCCGGTAAAACTCATTGCAGTACAGTAGTACGCAATGAAACCCCATTTAAATAAGCTGGCGGCAAGCAGCTGTTTTCTGAACTAAATACTTGCGTGGGAAGTTCGTCAAAATAATGTAGTGTGGCGTAAACATACTAACTACTAATAGCCCAGTCACTTTAGGTAAGAACCTAGACATGAAAGATGTAAAGCTGATTTTTTGCATGGTGATAGTATATAATAGGAAAGGTGTTTTCTGAAAGTTCCCTGAATTTCTCCCCCTTGCTTCCCCTTAAACCCCCCCCCTCCCCCGAAACACCAGGTTGAAAGTGTAGTGTTTAACTAAATCACCTATATCTTTTGATGTAAACGAGCTATCAGCATAATTGTTTTTTCTTTGAACTCCCCGTTAAATCTACTTTAATAAAATAACCTTACACGTAGCATTATCTCTATTGGGTGGGATTTTATATGTGATACAAAATAAATATTATTTTATTTAAAACGTGAAGTTGTAGATTAAGCCAAACGTCGGTTTTGCAGTAGGTAGTACGTCAATGTAACAACACTTTTTACCTGTTTGATGAGCTTTCCAAAAATGTATAACAATATATATTTTAATTTAAATTGTTACCGAATGAAGCCATTTAAATACATGCTTCAAACAGCCACAAAGCGCATTTAGCGTACCATTCCAACTTGTCCAGTAAATATCTATTCTATTATATACAGGGTTAGTAAAAAGTGTGGAGACCCCCTGTACATTTTTTTAACGGCCCATACTAAAAAAACTAAACTCGGCACACCTTTATTGCATGTTATGAAGTACTTTTTGGGAATAACCGCCACTTGATGATCATCCCCAAAATGGGGGATTTTAGGGGAAACTCTAAAATTTCAAATTTTAAGCCCCATTGAGTGACCCCTCATTTTGAAGGTCCTGGTAAAAGAAAGCCAACAACGCAAATTAGAGGTATCTACCTCAATCCAGTAAAAAATGGCAGCCAATTGAAATTCTCAGAAGTTAAATTTAACTTACAGCTTTTCAAGTCTGGAGACCCCCTGTAAATTTTGTAACGGCTCACACTAGGAAAACTAAACTCTACACACCTTTTTGGCATGTTATGAAGTACTTTTGAAGCCTAATAGCCACTTGGTTACCAAACCCAAAATGGGGGAAACTCAAAAACTTTAAATGATAAGCCCCATCGAGTGACCCCTCATTTTGAAGATCATAATAAAAGAAAACTAGCAAACTAGAGGTCTCTATCTTAACACAGTAAAATATGGCAGCCAATTTAATATTAAATTGCAAGTTATTTCTGATTTCTAAAGATTTCAATCAGCTTCCATTTTTTACTGGATTGAGATAGAAACCTCTAGTTTGCGTTGTTAGTTTTCTTTGACCAGGACCTTCAAAATGAGGGGCCACTCAATGGGGCTTAACATTTAAAATGTGGTTTTTAAAGGGTTGTTTGAGTTTCCCCCAAAATCCCCCATTTTGGGGATGTACACCAAGTGGTGGTTATGCCCAAAAAGTACTTCATAACATGCCATAAAGGTGTGCCCAGTTTATTTTTTCTAGTATGGGCCGTTAAAAAAATAACAGGGGGTCTCCACACTTTTTACTAACCCTGTATAATTCAGTTTTAAAAATATTTGTACAACTAAATCTAGAGTTCTACTGGACCGATTTTATAATTATTGTGTCGTTGGAAAGCTTAATTCATGTAAATTTGCAAATAATTATGAAAGTTTGTTTTTGTTATGATTTATGGTGAAAAAAAAAATGTTTTCCATAAGAAATACATTGAAAACTGTGTTTTTCACACGTTTTATTTGGGTGCGACTTTTGGCTACTTATTTTGAGTATTTCCAAAAAGTGCATGGTACCAATTTGTAGGAAATGTTATTCTCTTTCAGAATATCACCTTCCACTCTGGTGGATTTCCTCACCATTTAAAAGTTATTTGCTAAAAGGCTAAGCAACCTCTGAATTTATAGTAATGATAAAATACTGAGTAAGGGATATTTTCGTTAAACTTTGTACAACTAAATCTAGACTTCTACTAGACCGATTTTGTTAATTAATGGGTCATTGGAAAGCCTAATTCATGTAGATTTGCAAATAATTATGAAAGTGTGATTTTATCAAATATTTGTGGTGAAAGTTTCTTTTTTCAAGTTTCTGTTTTCAAGTTTCTATTTGTAGCAAGCTTTTGCCTGCCTTTATTAAGAATTTTAAAAAAATGCATGGTAGTTATTTGTAGTAAATTGTATTCTCTTTCAGAATATCACATCCACTTTGGTAGATTTTCCCTCCATTTAAAAGTTATTGGTAATAAGCTAAGTGATCTACAAATTTCAAGTGGTGAGAAAATACTAAATTGTTTTTTTTTTAACTTTGTACAACTAAA